GCCAGAGACAGGGGTGCATGGAGAGGTAGCAGCAATAATAGACACCAGCTGCACCCGTTGCTTAATTAGCTCCCCCATTGTTGAGCAGCTAGGCATAAAGACACACCTCTTAAGGCTGATGCCAGCAACGTTGCAGTGGCAGCAGTGTTTCTCCAGGAAGACCCCCAAGGGCAGCTGCTTCCTTGCACGTATGTGTCCAAAAAAACTCACGGATACCGAGCGGAGATGGGCAGTATCGGAGAAGGAAGCCTTTGCTGTTCGCTGGGTTCTTCTATCATGGCAGCACTTCCTAGAGGGAGCCAAGATCCCCCTTGAGGTATGGTCAGACCACAAAAACCTCGAAGCCTTAAAGGCCCCACGACGGCTCTCCCCCAAAGAGGTCCGCTGGGTGCAGTACTTCAAGCGGTTTGATTTCAAACTGAAATACATCCCAGGGGGTAAGAACCTGCTTGCAGATGCCTTCTCAAGGAAACCCCAATATGACAGCCAGAGGGAGGACGTCATCCATGCCATCATCCCGGACACGCAGAGTGTGGCACAAGTCACTACTCGGAGTCAGGCCAGCAGGCAGACTGATTCCATCAATGGGAAGGTAACGGCCGACTTGAAGGCAGCACTATCTACTGATCCATGGCTAGCTGACAATCGAGACACTTTGACGACCTGTGATGGACTAACTTGGAAAGGTTCAAAAATTTATGTCCCCAACAGCATGAGACTCCTGGTGCTCCAGCAAAGCCATGATTCTCGATTGGCTGGTTACTTTGGATTTCTAAAGACCCTTCATCTGATTAGACGGCAGTTTTGGTGGCCAAAGATGAAAGCTGATGTGGAGGACTATGTAAAAAGTTGCGCCATATGTGCCAGCAATAACACAAGACTGGAGAAGCCTCCCGGTTTGCTTCAGCAGGTAGCTGAGCCCAGCCGCCCGTGGGAAGAAATAGCTATGGACTTTATAGTAGAGCTCCCAGAAAGTGGCCGAAATACTGTAATATGGACTGTGATAGAAACAGGCCCATTTTATTCCTTGTTCTGGACTTCCCTCGGCTAAGAGATTAGCCAAGAAGTTTGTCAAACAGATATACTGGCTGCATGGAGTTCTGCAACGGGTGATGTCCAATCGAGGAGTTCAATTCACCACTGAGTACTGGAGGGAGTTCCTGAGATCCATTGGGTCATCTCAGGGGCTTAGCTCGGCTTTTCATCTGAGTATGAACGGAGCTGCGGAACGCGCTAATCCCATGGTGAAACAGTACATCAGATGTTATGTAGATTACCAGCAAGATAATTGGGCTGACTTGTTTCCTTTTGCAGAAGTGGCTTTCAATAATGTGGCGCATAGTAGTATGGGACTGACGTCTTTTCAGATTATGAGCGGCATGGAATTCGTCCCTATGCCAGAACTGCTCAGAGAACAGCCTTCTTCCATGACTTTGAATGAATGGATGGAGTTATTAAAGAAAGGCTGGGAGAATACCAATAAAAGCCCTGAATGAAGCTGCCGAAGCATACAAAAAGCAAGCAAACACTGATCTCTCCAACCCCCCTTTCAGGTGGGAGATCGTGTGTATCTTTCCACCAAATACTTACATTTGAGGTTGAAGAGTAAGAAGTTAGGACTGAAATATTTCCTTACTTTTTTCACCATTGAATTTCATTTTGTTAGATAGTGTGATAGATAGACTTATTCAGCAATTTTAGCAGGGAATTTTGTTCTAATAGTTGAGTTTCTCCATCCATATATATGAACATGTAGTCACGGATGCTAAATATTGTGCAAATCACTATTTGATACCAGGCCAGCCCAAAACAATTTCTTAGCACAATCAAACAATTTCCCTGTTTACTTAGTTCTTGAGAATGAAAATCAACCCAACAGAAAGGTTTTGGTATTTGGACATTGCTTTGTATCAAAACTGCTGGAAAGTTAATCCAGCAAGTTACTCCGCCAGCGGGAGACCCATAAATCATTTTGTGGTATGTTTTTGCTACTGCTAGGTTGAAAGGCAGTGTGATCTGTTTGGTGAGTGACAAGGTAATAAATGACAACATCCAACCTATGGGAAAAAGTCCAAGTGTCAGTTTTGGAAGACAATTTTCTTTTTGCTTCTAAAAAGAAGCACATATTTTAGCTGGGGAAGTTGGGAGGGGGTTGTTGTTGGAGCCGTAGAAAGTTAGTCATAACAATATTCCGTATTCAAGGACTTTTGCCTGTGTCTGATGGAGACTGCCTGAAGATTGTATCCGGTGGAGTGTGAAGAGTTGATTGGACAATGTGATGAATTTGTGGGTGTGGGCAGGGGTGAAATGCTCCCGGTTCAAACCAGATTGCCCAATCCGGTAGCAATGGAGGCGGGTGGTTCAGAGAACCGGTAGCAAAAATCTCTGCCCTCCCCCCCATGCCCAGGTGAACTGCACAATCATCAGAGGCTTTTTTTTAACTTTTAAAAGCATTTTTTCTATAACCTCTTCGGCCGAAAAAATGCTTTTAAAAGTAAAAAAAAAAAAGCCTCTGATGATCACGCGGCTCAGCTGGGATCATCAAATGCCTCAGACGATCCAAGCTGAGTTGCCTGATCGGCAGAGACTTTTTTTCTTTTAAATGCCTCTAACGATCAGGCAACTCAGCTTGGATCATCAGAGGCGTTTAAAGAAAAAAAGGGGTTTTTTCTTTTAAATGCCTCTGACGATCCAAGTTGAGTTGCCTGATCGCCAGAGGCATTTAAAAGAAAAAAACCCTTTTTCTTTTAAATGCCTCATCTTTTTACAGATGCGGGCAGATGGCAGCTGAAGACATTGCAGACACTGTTGGACGAAGGGATTAATTTAACTTGGTTACAATATAATCAATTACAATTGAGATGGAAAGAGGACCAAAAAACTGGTATTATGATGCATGAGGAAGAATTGGTTAGACATATAAGAGAGAAAGGTCCAATGCATATCAAGAGGCTTTATAATGTTTTGCTAGAAAGGGACTCAGAAACTGAATTAGTTAAAGATTGTATGATTAAGTGGGCACAAAATTTTGAAGAACCAGTGATGTTGGAAACATGGGAAAAAATTTGGGTTCAGAATGTTAAATTTACACAGTCGCAGAACCTGAGGGAAAATTTTTATAAAATGTTTTATAGATGGCATTTAGATCCCAAAAAGTTGTCATGTATGTACCCTAATGTTCAGCCAAAATGTTGGAGATGTGAATGTTTGGATGCTACGTATTATCATGTTTGGTGGACCTGTAGGAAAGTTAAGGCTTTTTGGATAAAAATTTGGTGGGTCATGCAGAATGTTTTGAAGAAAAAAATTCAATTCTCTCCACAACTGTTTTTATTGGGTATAGTTAAGGGTTTTACATTGGGTGAAACAAAATTGATATTGTATATGATAACAGCAGCAAGATTGTTGATAGGTAAATATTGGAAGAATGAAGCTTTGCCCACTATCGAGGAATGGACTTTGAAGATGGCCAGTTTTGCAGAGATGGCGAAGATTTCAGCATATTTAAAAGATTGTTCACAAGAGACTTATGAATGGGAATGGAAAAGGTGGATAGAATATGTACAGAACAAATATCAAACTAGAAAGTATCAAATAGCTTTTATTTGAAAATAATGTATTGGAAATATTTTAATGTAATGAGGTAAAGAGAAAGATTATACAGGGGAGGGAGGGGTTCAAGTTTATATATAAGTGTTATATTAAGGGTTTTTTATGAGTATGAGTATAGGGAAGTCTGGGGGGAGGGGAGGGTTAGGGAGGGTTAGGAGGTTGGGAAGTCTGGGGGGGGAGGTGGGGGGGGAAAAGGGGTGAAAATGTAATTGTAAAACTTTTGCAATAAAAAAAAAGAAAAAGAAAAAAAGTCTCTGCCGATCAGGCAACTCAGCTGGGATTGTCAGAGCCTTTTGAAAGCATTTTTTTACAACCTCTTCGCCGAAGACGTTGTAGAAAAAATGGTTTTAAAAGTAAAAAAAAAAAATTGGCCATGCCCACCCAGTCACATTACCCCCCACCACCACCAAGCCCACAGAACCGGTAGTAACAAATTTTAGATTTCACCACTGGGGGTGGGGCAGGGCTGTGAACTCTTAGCTGTGTGGGGAAAACCTGGAAACTTTCAGATTTGGATTTTCCCAGATGTGCCAACATGACATCTCTAATAAATTGGAACTTTGAGGAACCTCAGGCCTCAGAGCTTTATTTTGTTGAGGGTGTTCCTTCAACACCCTGACAGCAAGCAACCTCCGTGGAGTGGCTGCATCAGGAAAAACAGCCTTTAAATAAAGCTAATCCTAATGCAATTGGGTTAAATTATTCACTGTGAAATATTTATTTCCTGCTTCTTAGCAGCAGATATGAAAATGCTAATACACTAAAAGGAAACAACAAAATGCTTTCAAAATGATGTTAAAGGGAAAAGATACCCTCAAAGGATATTCCATGAGTCAGAATGCCTCTTTAATTTCCTGCATGTAGCAAAAGCCAAGCATTTGACTTTCTGAGGGTGCCTCTCATACATGATGTCGTGCTGTAGGGGTGCTCACCATGGGATGCTAATATATCATCTTATATTAGATGTAGAACACATCTAATATTTCAAATCTATTTCAGCTGAGTAAAGAAAACTAATTGTTCAAGAACTTTAAGGGTTCTGATATGTAAGGAATGAAAAGCATTTTTTTTAAAAAAAGTATAATAAATATTTTCCATTCTTTCAAAATGTATACATATATTGTTGTGCAGCATGTTGTAGTAACCTATTTCCCAATTTCATATTTAAGAGTGAAAAATCCAAGTTAATAATTAATACCTGGGGATTGCCCTTTGTTATTAATCCACCTGATAAAGCTGCAGAAATGATATCTAAATTTGTAGCTCTTTGGCTTAAATATCACTGTTCTTTTTTTCAATATTGTGAGTAATTGTTTAACACCCTCATCCATGGAGTTAATTCTACCTAATTGCAGAAATGTAACACGCTTTGTCCCTGGGGAGATTACCTGTCTGCGGAGATCTCTTGTTTTCTTGCACATATTATCTATTGCTGCATTCAAGGCATTCCCTCTTTCCTTCTTGTCAGCCTGGAAGAAAAAAGTAAAGCTCATTGGGAACACAAATAAAATTGGGGTATTTAACACATTTCATGCTGTCACTGAACTCTTTTAAAGCTAAACTATTAATTACACTTTAGAATAGTTTGAGCAACCTGATTATATTTTTGATTTCAAAAGTGCCTGATTAAATCACCCTTACCCCACCCCCCCAAAAAAAGGTTTATTTGACCCTGTGAGCTATTCTCTACATTAAATGAGGCAGGGCAGGGGTGAAATCCAGCAAGTTCTGACAGGTTCTGGAGAACCGGTAGCGGAAATTTTGAGTAGTTTGGAGAACCAGCAAATACCGCCTCTGGCTGGCCCCAGAGTTGGGTGGGAATGGAGATTTTGCAATAGCCTTTCCATAGGAGTGGGGAGGGAATGGGGATTTTGCAGTATCCTTCCCCTGGAGTGGGGTGGGAATGGAGATTTTGCAGTATCCTTCCCCTACCACATCCAAGCCACACCCACCAAGCCACACCATGCCCACCAAGTCACGCCCACAGAACCAGTAGTAAAAAAATTTGGATTTCACCACTGAGGCAGGGGATAATATAATACAAGTAGAGTAATAGATAAAGCATATTAATTTGTAGCTAGCTTTCATGTCATACACAATGTTCCATGTAAAAAAATTATGCAGCCATGGAACTAAATTTACACTATTTTCATATTTCTTTATTTCTCGATCTTCTTCCCATGCTTTACCGCATATTGAACATTTTCCACACGAACAATACATATTTAGGTGGATGCTTATGTAACTTGGATCTCAGGAAGTAAAGAGATATCTTTTGACTCTCATACGTTTCGACTAGTTAAGTGCTTGGAATTTTGCTTCTACTATTTTAATCACAGATATGAAGACCACATTGCAATCTTTTTTGGATAGAGGAGAGGAGAGGAGAGGAGAGGAGAGGAGAGGAAAGGAAAGGAAAGGAAAGGAAAGGAAAGGAAAGGAAAGGAAAGGAAAGGAAAGGAAAGGAAAGGAAAGGAAAGGAAAGGAAAGGAAAGGAAAGGAAAGGAAAAAAAATCTAGGCTTCCGCAGAATCTAGATTACAATGGGGACTTCAATATGAAAAAATTATGAATATGAATTAAATGCCTGAAGAATGAGAACACAAAATAAGGTTTCGTTGCAGTGCTATAAATGGAGTAGCTTAAATATAATCATAAGCAGATATTGTGTTGCTGAACTTTTACAAACTCATTGTTTGGAATGTCGTAGAACTGCAGAAATGTATATATATACACACACAATACTGTAGGATAGCCCAAGTATGCTACTAGATCTCTATGGTGGCCTTGATGAAAATAGTTTAAAAAGGAACAGCAAACTGGGCAACCCATCTACAGTAAATGAGGACCAACACAAAGTGCTTCAGTGATGCTGGGACAGTCAAGCAGTAAAAGGCTCCTCTGCTTAAATGTTATTGAACAAAAAGGAATTGGCCTCACCTTAATTTAACCAAAGGTATTACATTTAACACGGTTTGGTCTTAACGATTTGAATTTATAGAGGAAATTCATCCTTTACTATTTAATGAAATTAAATTTTATCTAGCTCTTTTATGGTTTACACTTCTGCACCCGATTACACGGTCTAGTAAATTCCCAAGATGTGTCAGCAGACGAAGTCAGCTTGAGCACATTAGCACTTAATAGTGTGAAAATATCCATAATGAAAGCAATATGGAAGCAACGGTACCTCGCCTTATCTGAGTTTCTAAAGGAATGCCTCGCGTGGAGAATCTTCTAAACCTGCTTTCCTCAATCTGGCCCTCTTCAGATATGTAAGATTTTAACTTTGCAAAAGGACATGTTAGGTGAAAATTATGGGTTCTGGAGGGCATCAATTTAGGGAAAGCAGCATTAAAGGATCGGTGTAATCATATGCTTCCCCTAAGGGAGGCACACATAGACACACACAAAAGATGAGGAGAAATAGTGCTGCATAAAGAGAACAGTACAGTCCAAAGAAGAGGTCACTTGTCATGTAAAAGCAAAAGCGACTGATAAAGAACAATGACATAAGCTGTCAAATCCTGTAACTAACCACTCTTGTTCATTCAGACTGTTCACTGGGGTCTGAAATCTTCATTTGCTGGCTTTAAAACTTAATTTTCCTCAGACAGTCAATAAGAACGGCCATTTCAAAAATTTAATGACTCCTGGAGTTTTACAAGGATTACGGCAACGTCTTTCAAATCCGCGTTCTTCATAAAATCACAACCAGCCTATGGTTTGTGAATGGGCATTAATATTGGCTTTTCAACCAATTCAAAATCATCACAAATGCTGTAAATCAACGGACAAAATACTCTTACGCTCTCTCTGCGTTTTTCATGCAACCTAATGCTGCAGTCACATCTGAGGCACCAATTCCTTCCAATTCAATTCAATTCAATTTCCATACACCCTCCTCAAAAGGCCAGAGGGGCTTTCTATCAGGTTCGCCTGATTTGCCAGTTGCGTCCCTTGCTGGATCGGGACTCCTTGCACACGGTCACTCATGCCCTCGTCACTTCCCGCATGGACTACTGTAATGCTCTCTACATGGGGTTCCCCTTGAAGAGCACCCGGAGGCTCCAACTGGTCCAGAATGCGGCTGCACGGGGGGGATTATGGAAGTGTCATGGTGCTCCCATGTAACACCTCTCCTGCGCGAGCTGCACTGGTTTCTGGTGGTCCTCCGGGTGCGATTCAAGCTGTTGGGGGACCACCTTTAGAGCGCTCCATGGCTTAGGACCTGGATATCTACGAGACCGCCTTCTGCCACCGAGAGCCTCCCACCGGCCAGTACACTCCCACAGAGAGGGGCTCCTCAGGGTGCCGTCGGTCAAACAATGTCAACTGGCGGCCCCCAGGGGGACAGCTTTCTCTGTGGGAGAGAAAGCTGTCCCCCTGGAATGAGCTTCCCCTGGAGATACGGATGATTCCAGATTTACGTACTTTCTGCCGGGCCCTCAAGACTTTTTTATTTCAAAAAGCCGGGCTGGCCTAACTTCTCTAATTGTTTAATTTTAATTTTAATTTTAAATGGGGTATTTTAATTGTTGGGCCAAATTGTTTAATATATTTTAAATTGCTTTTAAATTTTTGTATTCTATGTTTTTTACCTTTGGCTGTTCACCGCCCTGAGTCCTTTGGGAGAAGGACGGTATATAAATTTAAATATAAATAAATAAATAAATAAATAAATAAGCAGCTAAATCTGTAGCTCCATGCTCTTTTGATGCAGATAGTCCTCAACTTATGACCAGAATTGAACCTGGAATTATGGTCATAAACTGTGGTGATTGTTGTCAAACAATTTTATTCCTGTGACCTTCGGTGTGCTACAGTGGCTGTAACTTTGGGTACAGATCTTATGTTCCATGGCTCAGACCTGTCATGATTTCAAACGGTTGCTGTATAAAAGGTCATAAATTGAGGGCTATCTGTACTCTTTTCTCTTCCTGACTGACAGCACTTCTTTTTCTTAGTAACAACGTTAAAAATTAGTAACACTTAAGAGTAATAAAAAAGCAGATTGATGTCAATCGAGATGAAGAGAGCGGTGACATCGAAGGAGACCATAATTTCTTCCTTGTTGATTTTGGTGTGTTTGATGCATTGGAGAAATTGTTCTGGGGAGTTTATTGAGTGGGTTGAGTTGTCAACCAGGTGTCTGGGTTTCCTCTGCAGGATATTTGCTAGTTTGTATGTCAGTAGAGACACAATTGGGTGTAAGGCAATGGTGGTATTCAGCCAGTTCACACCTATTGGGGAGAACCGGTTGTTAACTTTCTAAACAGTTCGGAGAACCGGTTGTTGGAAGAAATCTTATTTTGTTTTTTTCCACTTTACAGGGCTAATCCTGTAAGGGAGGCAGGAAGGAAACATTCTGGTGGTGTTTCTAGCCTAATCTTTATTGTCCTGCTTACAGAAACTGCCTCTCTGGTTAACCCTTATTACAACTAAGGCGAAGTGCCTATTGACGTGAGTGACGTTGAGTTGGCCATGCCCACATGGTCACATGACCACCGAGCCATGCCTACCCAGCTGGTCATTAGGGCAGAGAACCGGGTGTTAAAGTGTTTGAATCCCATCACTGGTGTAAGGTAGAGTTTATTGTGTAGAGTATGTCATTTCCTCCAACTAATTCAATATAGTTCCGGTTGGAAAATGGAAATCACTTCTAAACCTATTTTTAAGTCTAAAATTGTTGTTTAAAATATATAAAAAGCACATATTTTGTTGATTTTTAAGCATATCCAAGGAGCCGGTTTAACTTAAAATAATCTTTTGGGAAAGTTGTATGTCAAAAATAATAACATTTACTGCACAAAATTCAGTAAATCAGCACTTTGCACCATAAACTTAATCTCTCAGTGTTAATGACATCTCATGTAATAACCAAGTCACTGTTAAATAACAGAATAACAGAGTTGGAAGGGACCTTGGGGGGACTTCTACTCTAATCCCCCTACTCAAGCAGGAGATTCTATACCATTCTGGGCAAACGGCTGTCCAATCTCTTCTTAAAAACCTCCAGTGATGGAGCACCCACAATTTCTAAGACAAGCTACTCTACTGATTAATTGTTCTGTCAAGAAATTTCTCTTAGTTCTAGGCCTCTCCTTGATAAGTTTCCATCTATTACCCTGTTTCCCTGAAAATAAGACATCCCCTGATAATAAGCCCAATCAGGCTTTTGAGCGCATGCACTAAAATAAGCCTTCCCCTGAAAATATTTAAATGCAGAGCTGGAAATCAGGTAAAACGGCAAGAGGAGCACCATCTTGCTCCAAGTGCCCCAAAATAATAAGACCTCCCCGAAAATAAGGCCAAGCACTTATTTCGGGGTTCAAAAAAATATAAGACAGGGTCTTATTTTCGGGAAAACACGGTAGTTCTTGTTCTGCTCTTAGGTGCTTTCGAGAATAGGTTGACCCCCTCTTCTCTGAGACGGTCCCTCAAATACTGGAAGATTACTATCATATCAC